CGCGCTGCATTCGCGACAGCGCGGGGTGCTACCCGATCCAGCCCGGGACGGCTCGATCGGCGCACGACTCGTCAGACGTGCCTCGGTCCTTGGCCTGAGAACATCAGCCTAAATAGTAAGTACTTGGTGGTCGGCCCTAAGAACTGAATATCTTTGCACTTCATTTCTTACACCCTTCAACCATCGTGCTACACCCTGCATAGCGTGTCGGTGTGTGGTTTACCCATTTCGGTCTTAGTCAATACCCGCCCGGCATGACACTATACTCTAGCCTTCGCTTAATGATTAAGGGTGAAGTAAGTTCCCTAGTTTTTCAAAACAACACCTGTAGAATAAAATGTATTTGGTTTGACAGATAACCAGAATAACTGCGCAACGAAATCCGTTCCAAGCTGTGCTGGAAAACATGTCGGCCATGGGAACCGTATTGCATCACATGGTGGTGCTTTTGACTTGGACAAGTATCGTGTTTGCGAAAATTTCAGTCCAGCTCTCTCAGGTAGTTACACAAATACATATATTTGTTTTAAGCCGAAGGTCTATTCCCGACTTTACCTTTTGCCCGTATGTCTGTATGTAATCACGGTAACTAGACAACGGTTCGAGCTAGGTACGTATTTTTTTTATTGTAACTTAGAATTATAAAGAGCAAGGACTGTATTGATTTCGGGTGCTCTAGCTTAAAAATTGACGTGTCAAAAAGAACGAAATACCTTCAAAACTTATTTAAAAAAACTAGTTCTTTTTGTTTTGCATCTCTCTTAGAGGTAACTCGCCAAAGTAGAACCCGTAGAACCAAATTTCGTCCGTTTGGCTCTATCTCTAAACAGTTAGGCATCAGTGGGCGATTTTCACACGGAAATTACCCCTGAAACATTTTACTGTTTTTATTCACAATGCACGATGTGGAGAGGGTTTTCTACATCTTGTTCGTCAGGTATCGCCGGGTAGCGCAAAGCCTGTTACGCGAGATACGGTCGGGTGTACATCTTTCTAGTAAATGGTTACAGTCAGTGCCCCACCCCTGGGGAACAGTATGAACCGGATCCAAATAAGAAAAGTGATGCTCTTCGTTCTGTTCCCTCCTCAAAGCTCATTGGTGCTTTTTCAACGAAAATACGCCGAAAATGACCACGCTCTACATAAAGACGTACAAGAAGGCCTAAAATCGAAAAATGCCAGAGGAAGTAATGAGCGAGTCACTTGGTATGAAGAAGAATAGAAGATGGTGGCGTAGAGTAGCGCGGACTCAAAACAAAGCAGAAAGCTGCATCGTGGAATTGCGTTTATATTCAAAGTAGTGCATTCAAAATTAGTTTTTAATCCCCACTAGCGTACAATCAACTGCGAACGATGCGCACCCGGCAGGGTTAGGGTTACGGTGGGGATCCAACGAACTCGGGCCGCCATGCCGTGTTGTCAAATAGTCACCTCCATGTCGTTTTCCCCGTTTAAAGCGTCGGAATGCCGGAATTCGACCACCAATCGCAGCTCTAGCATTTATCCACGAAGTGAAGATTCATAACTAGACAGGTGTGATCGGGATTTTCGAAAATCTGTCTTTCGCCTCCACTCAGATGTTTTGACGGGTTGTTTGCATCCAGTACACACTATAGGCTTTCCTTTTTCTATCGGTACCTGAATTTCATCCCGGTAAGTCGTCATTATGTAGTATTTGCAAAAGAGCGGTTTGAGGTTAGGTCTGCGCCACTGCACGACTGATTTTGTCAAGTTAATATGGGAGAACCACTCCACTTACCGAAGAAACTCGCATCCGTATTGAAAGGCCTCACTTTAACGAAGGTCCATTGTAAGTTTCGAATTGATCTGAAATTTTGATCACTCACACGGACAATTTCTTTAAGTACGCAGCGGCCTGAGTTCGGTTCGCTATCGCCGGCCCACCAGCTGCTCGGCTGACTTTGTCAAGTTAATGTAGGAGAACCACTTCACCTAGTAGTAGGGAAGGCTGTCTGTTTCATTGTCTGGGTTATAGAACAGGTTGTACTTCCTCTTTCTTCCACCCCTCATGCTTGAAGTCCTGTATACAAAACAAAAATAATTAATGCCAATAAATTGTTGAGAGTCACGTCCAAACCAAACCCATCCATCTTCGAAGATATAAACATCTCATTTACGGTCGTCGTTCGGTAGCTTCAAATTTTTACACCAGCTCCTAACCTGTAAAGCAGTAGTCGTAGAAGAAAATGAAATTTCTTTGGACACATGACTGATGTTTGTTTCAGTTTTCTTTCATTCATAATTTCATTGTAAAATTCGTTTCATAGGCTATGGTTTTCTTGTAGTTTTCTTGTAGCACACCTCAGGAAATCGCCAAAAAATATTTCAGAAAACGCACATACTGGAGTCCATTGTTTTTGATTTTTCTTAAATACACTTTTTGAGTTAAAATGCTCATCTGCTATAACGATCTGTCTTTTAATGACACAAAACGACCCCGAAAGTCCCAGGTCGCTAGCTCAATTCGTTCTCGAGTTATCGTGCGGACAGACGCACACACACACAGACAGAATTTTTTTTTCCGACGTAGTAATAGACTTCGCTGATCGATCAGCCAATAAATCGGTACGGGTCTGAGAGTGTTTACAGTGCGACGCGTTCTAACAACAATGTTCTATCTACAGCGTGCGGAATACACAATGTTCTATCTGCAGAGTGTTGAATACACAATGTTCTATCTGCGAAACGCGGGTTTCGGGACACCTCCAAAGAAATGCTTATTACTCCGTAACCGCTCATTCTACTTAACTTTTAAGAGTCAATAATTAAACATTGGACCTTTGCGAGTCTTTCCGTGTGCGGAGATTGGCCTTTATGCCTTTGAGTTAATTGCAAACCACACAAAGGTGAAGGGCTGCGCCCAACCCCGTTTTGCAGATAGAACATTGTGTACTCAGCATTCTGCAGATGGAACATTGTGTAATCCGCACGCTGCAGATAGAACATTGTTGTTAGGACGCGTTGAGTGGGTGCGGCGGTCAGCCAGTGAGCGCGCTGAAGGAATTTCGAGAATTGATGATTTTCTTTTTCAGGTTCCGGTTGACTTATGGCGAGCTACCTTGTAAAGCATTCCGGTAAAGCTGAAATGCAGATGAATGCGAAGGACAAGAAAACGGATGTCACCATGTTAAAGCAAAGCTATTTTCATTTTCCTTTTCCCGAATTTATATTCTGCATTTCAGCTTAACCGGAATGCTTTCTTGCCGAGGTCTCTTCTCGAGATGATTTGAGAGAATATACGAATACTCGTGAAACTCAAGTGTCGTGCAGTATTACAGTTTTAACTGCGGTACCATTGGTACTGCAGGTAAACTGTGATACTGTACATTTGCGTTTCCAGACTATTTTTGCGGGGGTCTCAATGGTTTCTTGTGAAGGTATTGAGACACTCCAACACTAAAATCCGTAATGAGAGAAGTAACGAGAAAAGAATTTTTGAAAAGTGACACTATGTGCCTTACTCTGCCTTACATCTGCCTAGGTTCTTATGCCAGCCGTACGTGTTAACATGATAATGATAATTCGGCTGTTTCACTTTTTGTCGCAGGATCCGAATATGTTGCCGGAGATAGTACTGCAAATTGCAACCCAATTTTTTCCAATTGGCCACCTTGCGTTGATATATGAAGACGTTTCGAACGCTGGTGGAGTTTCCCGGGCCCTACAGATGGAAGGCCGTTGGCCTCTTATATCGGTAAGTCTGATAAACATTCAGCTAGGCGTTTTGTTTTCTGCGAGTGAACCTTAAGGTACCCTAAAAGTTTCTAGTCTGCAGCACGTCTCGTTTTTGTGGAATATCCAGACAGTCAAAAAGACGAACAGACCGATACCAGGTAGTTTTTAGCCCGCCCTTCTGCTTTTAAAAAAGCATTAAAGCGAGCTTATGCAACCGCTCTCGTGTCCGTCCGTCCGTCTGTCTGTCTGTCTGTCCGTCGTCCGTGTAAGAGGAAGGAGATGAGCTAGAGGTCTGCAAATTTCAGGGTATCTTAGGGGTCACTCCTGGACAACGAAACGCCTGGTGCAAATCCTAGCAACCACCCCTAAGGGGGTGAAAGGGGGTAACAAAGAAATAGGGGTTGGTCCAAAAAGTAGAAAAAAAATATATTTTTTATGGGCTCGTAAGGGGTAACTCTTGAAAGTAGAGCCCTCTGGGCGAAAATTTTGTCCGTTTGACTCTATCTTGCACCGTTTGGGCGCCAGAGTGCTTTTTTCGACGAAAATACGGCGAAAATGACCACGTTGCACATAAAGACGTACAAGGAGGCGTCCAATCGTAAAATGTCAGAGCAAGTACCCCCCCTAAACAACACGTTCTGAATCAGGAACTACCCTCGCATTAGCCGTATCTTTTACTGTTTCGGCTCTAGAGGAGGATATATTGAAAACAATGGCAAAAAGTCAAGTT